GGTAATCCATCAATTCACGAAGACTCTAAGGATTTAACGGTGTCCGAAAGATTAATCACGGCAGAGTTACACGAAGGTATCGAGTGAGGTTGGCGTTCTGTCGAATCAGGTGAGGTGGTATATTTGTCAAAAGAGTAATGTCGCACCATTTGGCACGGACGAGAAAGTCTGGCGCATAGAAGTGCAGAAATGGGCTACGACAGAATAATGTATAGTGACCATTATAAAGCGTTCATTGCGATCATTCGCTGTTCGAAGTAACTCATTACCCCGAAGATGTAGATCTGCAAAATCACGTTGAAAATGTCGACAATATTGACTGTCTACCCAAGGTGACAAAAGATCTGGATGCGTGACAGAATATTGCTGGAAAGTACAGCTGTTTTTTCCCTCTCAGATCGATGGGTATTCAAGTACAACGGTCTCTACTCGAAACTAGGTGCCGCTGGTGTATGTCCTGGATCGGTATGTCGTACGTCTTCTATACCAAGATCAAGACATATATCAAGAGGAACATCGGATTAATGGAATGGGAAAAAGGTGACCATTACCTATGGGCGGGGTACCCGACGTCGGAATGATGTATTGCCTGATGACATCGGTATTTTACCACGTCAAAACCGATGCGACACTATCTCCATTCAATTCGAGTAAACCTGAGACTAGTTGATTTGTCTATCAACACCGTGTGACATGGTTGTGTTAGTCAAATGGAGATATTAGGTGTGTATCACTATACACTCAACAATACACCGAAACTGATAGTTGGAGATCGGAATGTGAATTCATGGAGTGATATCCAATGATGTTGAGGGTGGAGATTGATAAGAAGACTTGATATATGCATATGAGACGATCCCTATCATTTTAAATCAAAAGAGCCAGTGGAAGGTGTCCAAATTGCATCCGGAAAGTTGGTGTAAGCAAATTTGGCTCAATATCGGATAATATCTTCATATTCTGGATATACCACGCTATTCTGGATATAATTGTAATATTCGATATATGGTATATTTTCGATTGAAGATCATATGATTGTGCATTTGACATATGTTCGAGAGGACGATCTAGCTAAAATTATATATCGGTTGGTAGAACGTCCTGTGGTTCGGGATAGGTACAACGACGGGTTAGCTAAAGATTTGGCTAATACTATATAGACTTCAGTTCTATTTCTCATGCTCAAGATCAGCTTCATCCTTTTTCAAGATCTCTTTAGCGTCTCGACGACTGAAATCACGCGTGCACTAAGGCAAAAAAAGATCGATATTTGACTGTTGGTCAAGATAGCGAATACTGATCCCGGAATATTTGACCCGGGTCGCACATGTACGCACAAGACCCAAGTGCTATTGGACGCCGCATACAACAAAAATCACTGGATATCAAGACCTCGAGACGGATCGAGTGGTCAGAAGATCGGCAAGGAGTTTCAAGACTGCACTGATCGAGATCGACGCATGCGTACCGGATCGCTGTGTGAAGATTTACGCACAGTGATCAAACCTCGATCCCAAACACAGTGCGAGATCTACATCTCCCAAGGCCGTATCACAGAGCTCAATCCATCTCCCAAGGCTGTAATGGAGAGCTCGATCCAGCCCAACCGACGGGTAAAAATAAGGCAAGCCTAATGATTGTCCTCAAGACGCAGATCGTAGTACCACTCTGTTAGTTTGAAGGTCTAAGCAAGCCGAAGATTGTGCTCACGGAGGCAAATTTGTGAGATGAACTTCACCAAATAATAATCTGAGTCGGTGAAACATAGGATCTGTCATATGCACATTGTGTGTTGGGAAGGCAATTCTACGCTGCCCATGCATTTTGGGTTCAGGTCTTTGAAATGTTTCATAGTGTTCACCTGTTCGGGATGTTGTACGAACCATCATCTCTGCTTAGAAAGGTCGTCCGACACCAAAGTATGTGTTCGGCGGACAAAAGACGAAAGATCGGATAAAGAGGTGTATTATTACATATCCTATGTTCAATATGACTCAACTTTAATAGACGTAACTAATTCTTTTGATTCCGCAAAGGATTCGCGTTGTCGGTTAACTGTATATACGATAAGGATTTCATTTTCACACACGCTTTAACGAGTAAACTAGCATGACTTAGAACCTGTAAAAGTATGACTGGATGTATTCACTAAATGCATAAGTGGTAGAGGTATCAGTAAACCATAATTTATTCCGAATCAAATTATCCTGTTTGTCAACTCTGCGACGTGCAGTTTCAACGGCACTACAGTTTAACGAGGCCTACTTGCATATGGAGTCCGTAATTCCTCGTCTTATCTATTGAGTTGTCACTAAGTAGCCAATTAGATGAAGTCGGAACTCTTTTGTACAGGTCTTCCAGTTGAATTATAATCCTTTCAAATACTGTCAGAATTAATGTATAATACTATTAACAAACGTGCTTCGTGAAAATGGGTAAAATAGCAGCATATATGATCTACACCTAAACCCTTTTTCATTCTGTCTCTCGATCTTACTTTGACTGAAGCTAACTCTAAATATGTAATACAGTTCCTTTTTCACCACACCCTTCGCGCGTCTAGATACGATTGGTGTTCTAGCTGGTTAACACAATGGCTCATATCAACTAATTGGTGGAGTAGTTACGAATACTACCGCCGATGGTATATTTTATGAGTATTATCCCCGAGTACTTCATTTGGTCCCAATATCGTATATAATGCTCAGCCCCTTTCACTTTAAACACTGTTTATACGATGAATTTATTCATTAGTGGAGCCGTACGGGATATCACCATCGGTAGTTTACCCTTCTGTGTTTTATTAGCATGATAAAATTATAGAATAAGGTCGATTTTGATAATATCCCCAATGACCCATGTTGAAGCCGATATAATGTAAGTCCTCAGCCCGTTGAATATTAATGAGATTTAAGCAAATGATTAAGCGAACTTATGGACCGACAAGTTTGGTCGTGATTGATCGATAAATTGTACAGAGGCAAGGCTTTGCAACAGACAAGCAATGGGAAAAGACTGACATGCGCTTGTTCGGGCACTTATTTACAGGAAAAGCCTAATCTTCATAAATAATTATCGATAAAGATTGATAAATATACAAAGAAGGACCTTTAAGCAAAAAGCATTTAATATGTTGCTTTCATAGAAATTATAGAAAAGAAATAAATAATAAACAAAAGTGTAGGTATTTGATATTATTTTTGAGCAAAAGATATAGGCAGCGAAGAAAATCGCAAGATCATTTTTAAATGACTGATCCTTGTTTCGCAGGTCTGATTGACGTTTAACTTTTGCATTAACTAATGCGCCTTTCACGTTTCCTCAAAGAAGTTGAGATGTTACCATGATATTGCATGTGTGCGTACGTCATCCAAGCAAGGTCGTGCAGATAGCTCGCTTTCATACCAAAGAAACACCCGCCGAGGTATCTTGTCAGAATTTCTTTGATGGTGTATTAGCGTCAAATACCCTTAGGTTTCGGCGCCTGAAACCACCTTTTTTCGATGTGTTATACAACATTACCTCTACAATGCCTGTGCAATATACGACTATTCAGCGCTCGCCTTGTGCGTTGACTTTTTTATAAGTGAGGCTATGTGTGAGGCTCTGTCGAGGCCAAGACAACTCATTCATAGTTTCCTTGAAACGATCACCTGCATCACGCAACACACGTATTCGTGTATCACATTCAATTGCTTTTTTTGAAGTGCTGCTAAAAACTTGGTGTCGCTTACTTCATTCACAACCCCGAGATGCTCATTGTATGACAAAACCGTTTATCACACACGAACGAACATGTTTACAGTAATCGTAAATCAGCTGTTGGTACTCGTAAAATAATGTTGCTGCAGAATTTTAAATTATGAACACTTTTTTACAAAAAGACCATCGTACTAAAAATAAGATTGACAAAAGCGAAAAAGTGATTTGGCATAGAGCGCAAGATACAAATGAAACGTCCAGTTCAGCACGGCCAATGACTTCCTCGTGAGAAGCAGACACATTCAGCGGTCCTAGGGAGCAGGATTTGCAACCGACGGGCGCTGACATTATTAATCTACAAAGCTGATGACGATTCACCCATCATGTGATCAAAAACGCGGGGGGGCATGAGCATATTGAAATCAAAACGAAGCGATGGTCTCGCCAATGTCAGAAGGGGATAAATCATATCGTGGCCTCCCGCTCTTCCGATCAGTTCCTTTGACATAGCACTGCACTGTCTACGAGACACAGCTCCGTAGGGATTCCAGCAGCTCATGATGGGCGTCAAGAGCCTCGATACGAGCGGGAACGCTTCCGATGAGGTCAATGCACGCGACCTAGAAAGAAGCAGGTGAATCTGCGCCTCGCGTAGTCTACGCAGGAACTCGCGTCGCCGATAGGGTCAGAGGATTCCGTGTCGGATGTATACGCACGACGGATCATAGGGAATCTTTCTTCAGAAAGGTCCAGTTGCGCTGTCGTTTCGATGCACCTGATACAGGTGACGTTGCAGCGCGTAAGAGCAGGCAGCCCTCGCGACTGGGCAAATCTCTTGTTGACGGTGGCGACTTGAGTCCCTCGTCAGAAAAAGTAACGCTGCTGGCCCCTTCCATATGTTCTTGTAGAACTCCATTACGGTATGCGGAAAGAATCATTCGACTGGGCTTGTACGCTATTGTTCGCATTTAGAGTCCATCGAATCGACCGCTTGCCTCTTCGACTATCGATTCCGTGTTTGCAGCAATTCTATACGGTGCCGTGTGTCGAGCAGCGACTTTCGATCCGTCAGACTTGAACAAGCCAGTGGGAGCCGCGTCTAGGTCCTGTCCCGCCCAGCGCGGAGCTGATCGGGCCAGAAGAGGCTCCTGCGCAGTTGCGACGAAATGAAACCGCACTAGACGGCTCATGCTCACTGTCGTCCACTCATGAGCAAACGATTGATGCCGCGCCACTCTCGCACCGGCCATTGTCCAATTCGCCGCCAAGCCCACAGTCCTTCATTGCAGCCACCGACGATGCGCCTGAGCCACATCCTTCTCGTCACTTCCAGTGCTGCGCTTGTCGCGTGTCCCACTGCGCACCCACTCGGCGCCATTCAAAGCGCGCCCAGCGGTCATTCGTCGCTAAGAACGGACAAGGGGTCCCAAGCAAACAATGGCTCTCCACCGCCGTCAGGCACTGAAGCGAGGATGGAGATGGAGTGGCTCGTTCGCCTGCTTGAATGCTTGCCGTTCGATATGAGATCCGTGTTTGGACTCCAGGCTGCTCGATCTTCGGGCAATATGCCCCCCTTGGTCGCGCTTCATGACATGCCTGAAAATGTTTTGCGCGCGCTGGAACCCGCAATCAAACATTACAAGCTTGATGCGCCGCTCTCGGTCGAGCCGAGACCCTTGCATGGACACGATGGTCTACCAGCTCACTCTCCAGACGAGCCGACACCCTTGCTCGGACATGATGGTCTATCTGTTCACTCTCCGAACGAGCCGAAACCCTTGCTTGGATACACCGGCACACCTAAATTGAAAGCCGTCGATGCCGAGATAGAAAGGATCGTGGCGGAGTCTGACCTCAAACGGAGGGCAGCCATTGAAGAAGTGAAGGCGGCCAATGACGAGCTGGTTGAAGCCGAACAGGCTGTTTCCAGAGCGAAAGGCGGTGCTGAGAAGGATGCGGCGACTAATGAATTGGAGAAGGCCAAACAAGCTTCGGATGTTGCCACCCGTAAGCTTATGCGTTTAGGAGGCGCCGGACTTACGCCAGAAGCTGCCTATGCAAAGGTCCAGGACAAACAAACCTTTGAAACTTACGTCGCGATGATCATGGCCAATTGGACGCCAGAAAAAGTTCTTGGGACTAGACTTGATCCGAACAAAGTTGGGTTGTACGGCGATGATCTCAAAACTGCCAAAGATTTGCTCTATCGAAGCTACAACGATTTCTACAAGACTCTCGATGGCATGGGCGTCGTGGAACGATTGCTTAGGCTTTCAAAGGAAAAGAGCCCACCCGCTGTGCCCTCGGAATGAGAGTGCATGGCTTTTCCTTCTTCCCGTTGATCGCCGACGTATCCCTTTCGAATCAAGACTCGCGATATAGAGACTCACGGCCTGTTTTAGCTCGCTTAATCAGCATAATCTCTCTTTTGAACGAGTTCGTTTTGACGTTTTTTTTTGTATTTCCTTCTTGTTGCAGCTTGATGACAATGCAAGAATGAGCCACCGCTACAGTTTGTGGAATACGCGTGCTCGACGCAGTTGCCCATTTCACTGATACTACTCTCACTTGCTCTATTGTGTGTGTCTGGAACGTCACGTATCTGCGGCAGACTTTCATGCGCCTGACAAGCCCACAACATTTGCTAGAGTTCGGACAAACCCACTTGCGGGGGAGCAAAGATACAGCGGACGGATGTACGCAGCTCTTGTTTCGAAGGCTTTTACAAACGCAAGGCTCGGTCCATTAGGTCCATTGCGACGTTGAGGGTGACCTCTCTGGCCCTACAATGCTAAGATTACCACCAAGCTCTCTCTTCTGCAGCTCAACTGTGTAATGACGTGCTCGTGAGCTCATCTTGGGTACGCTTGACCGTTCAATCAATGTACGAAAAGAAATAGTCAAGCTACACCTGTACCCAAGCTCGCTCCAGAAAAGTAATGACAAACCCAAGACGCGAAGAAAGCGCCATTAACAGTCACAGGCAACAAATGACTCGTGATCGATCCATCAAAACCACATGGAGGTATTTTCTCTGCGTGTAGAAAGCACACGTGTCTGACGATTTTGTCGGCGGGTGTTGCGGACGATCTCCGTCGTCACAATGGCTTTTTGCATAACTTCCGCCAATTCGATCGTTTTGTCTGCCGCACGTAGCAACGTAGGAAATCCGAGCTTCTTGCACACCAAGTTGCCCAACAAGCGAGCACAGCGGCCGTTGCCATCGTGGAACGGGTGAATGTAGAACACGAGCACTGCAAACGCGTAGTAGGCGCGCAGCAAAGGGCGGCGCTCCCAACGACCAGCATCGTTAAGCGCCGAGATGAAGTTGTCCAGCGCTGTGTCGATCTCCCCTGCTGGGAGAAACACTCGATAAATCCGAGGCGAGGCGTATCCGACGGCCGCATCGGTTCGAATCACGCCAGCTTGTCCGCTTGTAGCTGGAAGAAGGCACCGGTGCAATGCAAACAGCTGGTCGCGCGTAATGACACATGATGTATCGTGCATAACTTCACTGATGACGTCCAAGATCGGTTTCCGGGGGTTGTCGGCTGACGCGTTCCTACACATTCCTGGAGTTTCATGTGCCGAACCAATTGCGTCGTACAAGTCACTGGACGTAAACGTGACGCATTCTGCTCCTTCGCAACATCCAGCAAGTTCTGCTTTTCGCTTAAACGCATCGTACTGGTCCTGAAGTTTCTCTTGTAACTGCACATGTACCGTCAGCACTCCAGCAAAATGGCGAAAAACGCAAAACGATGGCAAAACTGACCTGTTCAATCTGCCGATACACGGGAGACTTCGGATTTTCTGGGTGACCGAACAAAGCTTTGCCTAGTGAGACACACACAATTAAGTAAAACATAAGGTCTTGACGCTACAAGATATTCCAAAACACCATTTTACCATGTGGAGACTGCGATGATTTCGCCTGCAACGAAGTCTTTTCAACCGAAACAGGTATCGCGGTGTTCTGTTCCTGACCCGGATGAATGTGTCCTACATATCGCACCACGTCAAGTATACACATAACCATGAATCGACAACATCATAAAAGCGACTCACCCGAAACGTTGAACTTGCACAAGACACACTCGGATACAGCGAGCTGTGCAGACTCGGCAGGAAGTGATGTGTCCGGGCCAACATCAATCTCCGCATCGTCAATTTCGATCGAATGCATGGCGACGCTTTTTGTCTTTTCATCACTCGGAGCTTGTTTGTTTGAATACTGCTCCACCTTGTTAAAGAGTTCATACACATCGCCGAACAGCTCAGCCTCCGTAGGACTCACGGCGTACAAATACTGCAGATAGTACTTCACGTGTCCAAGCAGGGCCCACTTGGTTCGAATCTTGCCGTCGCACTCCTCCACCAAGCGCTTGAGCGATGCCTCGTCAAGCAGCTCGAGCCGGTCACCAGGTCCGGGTAAGCAAAAGACATCATCAAAGAGCCCGTTGCAAAGCAACATCACTAGCGATCGTAAAATCGAGATGACCGCTGTGTGGTCTTCACTGCTCATCGAGGTTGCCAGCTTGTCCACCGTGTCAAACAAGCCCCATTCTAGTGCAAGTGGCATGGTGTCACAAACGTCCACTAGCAACCAACAACAAAATCACAACGCGTCAGTGTGCAGCAAGACAAACGGGGAGAAACGTGCGTGGTACTCACGATCCTCACGCAATATGGACGAGTCGGTAAGCTCCCCGTTTGCGGTAATGGCATTATCCAGCATCTGACAATACTGAAATTGGGAGATACGCCCTACACCAACTGTAAAAGAGTCTGCAGTCTGCAGTTCCTGTCGGAGCGTAGACAGGATCATCACCGACCGAACGACCCGCTGAATTCGCTGCAACTCATGCTGGTCTTCGGAGATACTGCGGTCAGAATACCACGATATCACTGCAATCGTTGACATCTTGCAAATCATCGGGACAGAGACGATTGTTTGGAACCCCGCTTGTCGAGCATGCGGCAGGAGGAAGAAGCCTGACTGCTGCGCTTTGTGCGTCTCAAGCCAAGCTGGCTGTTGGCTGCAGTACACGTTTCCAATGTGTCCTTGGCCGGGATCAATCATCACCGCAGAAGACACCTTCCGATACCTTTGAATGGCACTAGCCCACAGTGCTGCGGTGTCAACAGGACGGTCTTTCAGCGATCTAGGAGACAAAGCGGACCTCATTTCGCGCTGTTGTTGCGTCGCAGAGCTGTTTTTCTGCCAGATACTGTGCATCAGCAAGAGGCAACTATTGTCGTCGTCCATCACCGGGCAACGCACTTGTCCAATCAGCCACGGGTCCTGTACCAGACCTCCTGATTAGAAATAGCGCAAGTAACACCTAGACATATCCAATGCACTAACACTTCATCACTCACCCGGGTAATGACTCGAAGCGTAAACTCTAGTGCTTCATCCAGCGTCGCAGTGTCAATGTGGTCGACAGCTACTGTCGCTCGAAATCCACACGCTGTGGCACGATTTGCAGTAAGGAACCTTGCCAGCTCATTGTGGGCGAAATCAACTGCCTCCGACAAAGGTGAAGATCCCCATCGGTCAAGTAAGTTTACGTTTGCGCCGCACTGGACCAAGTACTTGGCAGTCTGCAATTGTCCTTCAGCACTCGCTACATGCAGCAACGTTCGCATGTCGTAATCCTCTACATCTGGTCGCACTACCGCAGGCACCAGTCGCTGCAAGTTCTCCATCTCTCCTCGTTTAGCAGCTCGAAATGCAAGTGCAATATTTCGCGCTTCTTCGCTGCTCTTCACGTGGTGACTCATGAGAAGTTTCTTCTGATGCGTGTGCAGCATGTCCAAAATGCCAAGCTGCTGCTTTTCTTGCGCAATGGTGATTGGCAACCGTCCGCTCGCATCCGCCACGTCCGTGTTCACGCCGGCCGACAGCAGTAACTCAATGACCCCGAGCTGTCCATTCTCAACGGCTACATGCAGCGACGTGCGTCCACGATCGTCGGCCACGTTCACTTCCATGCCGCTGAGCCACGAGCGCTTGACTTGATCCGTATTGCCTTGCTGAACAGCTTGAAAGAACCCCTCAACATCGGATCTCGATGGACATCTGGAACAGTCAGTGTGACATCAGAACAAGCAGCATCAGTCCCGTGAGCCCACACGTTATTTCCTGTCAATCACAACCGTCGGACCGTCTGATCTCGCGTCTCTCGTCGGAGGACCCAAATGGCGTGGCAAACACGGGAACTTTGCCATGGTGGGCGCGTTCCAGGAGCCGCAAGATGGCTACATTTCGTGTCTCCACTGCGCAGTCGATAGCAGAGCGGCCCCGTCGATCCAGCACTTCAGCATTGGCCCCGCATTGCAGCAAATAGCTCGTCATCTCCACGTGCTCGTTGCACACGGCGATATGCAGTGGCGTCCTGGCAGACGGGACAGACACAGCACGCGCGCAGGACAGAAGAGCGTGAGTGACCGAACGACTGAACGTGTATGTGTGGCTGTGTAGGCAGACACATATGTGGAACAAGCCAATAAACAACCCCCGACGGGATGAGGGTTTTCTACCGCCTGTTCGCGTCGACGGCATTGACGTCCGCGCCATGTTCCTCGCGCAGTCGGCGTACGGCTTTCAAGTCGCCTTCAGCTGCGGCATAGCACATGGCCGTCGAGGGCGACGGGGCGCGCAGACTCGAGTCGAGCTCCATACCGACAGACGGGCGGACGGACGGACTGGAGAGGCACTAGAGGCGGTCGGGCGTCGGCGTTCTTTCCGTGCCCACTGGCGCGTCGAGAGGGCCGCGACGTCTCAATCGCTGAGCGAAAGTCTCGTTGTCGCGAAACTGAGGACGACGACGCGCAGCTTTGTGGACGACTGTCGAGTGAGGGCACTTTTTTGTCTGACAGGTGTTGAAAAAAGGCTTTTTTTCAGTGCGACGAGTATCCAAATGCTGCATGTGGCTGACGCTCTGGTGCGCAATGGGTCACGTGTCATCCTCTTCGCCATTGCTCTGCCACTTGAACGATCTGAAGGGGGTTAACGGCACCGCTGACGTTTGCTTCCACTTGCGTCAAACGGCATAACGATCGACAACCGCGTTGCAGTTGCGCGTGTTCGAAGCGATATCCGGTGAGTACAAGGTACAGGTGTTCAGGTGTGGGACCAACCATCACACCAACTATCTACCTGAATTGACCCGCAACACAGTGCCCACAGTCCTTTCACGCATCGTACGTCAGACGGCCGCTGTTGCGATCGTGGCAACTGACAGCAACCTGCAACTTTTACGTATTGATACAGTGGATCGAAGAAAGAGCATGTCATCCTGCGACCACAACGTAGACCTGACGGGTACGTGATACCTTCAGGCCTACGTTGATATCGCAGGATTACACAGATGATTGGGCGTACATTTTACATATGCGCTTGCTCGTATCGGCCATAACTATTGTGTCGAGACGATGGCATGCGTCATCATCTAGAAAGCAGTGCGCGAAACTGAAGACATGTGCGCGCTCTTCGACTCGAGACAATGGAGAGACTTTGCGTATGTGTCACATACAGGTAGAGTAGCTAGTAGAAGAATGGGATCGGTCATCTCCTGTATGATGGAAGCATACGAGGTTCTACGGTGTCGAGAGGTGAGGTGAACGAAGATAAACCCGCACCGCACGTTTCGGACTGAGCAACTTTAATGTTCTCAGCTCGAGATCAAGCTGCGCGGGACCATATATTGCGTCGATTCAGTCGGCCTGTAGTTATCTGCGGGTTGGTACTAACCAAGATCCATCAGATCTGGCAAGAGGTATTGTCGCCACAGGTTGGAGCCCTCGGCCGAAAGATAGTGATGCATTCCAATCGTCACTTGGACCCTTCGAGATCATCTGCGGCACAACTGACTGAACTACGTACTGAATTTAGACTATTTACAGCAATGTTGCACAACAAACCCCACCCGCGGCGTAAGCTGTAAAAAGCACGGCGTAATTACGTTTGCGCTTTGACAAGCATGTAAAAGCTCTGTGTCCTACACAGCACTTGCGTTCGAAGTGAGCCAAATGCTGTTTCGTCACAAGCCAATCGATCGTGTGGTGTGACTAGCATCGAGCTGTCGCCCAATGCTAGCCTATCAAGTCGGCAAAAGCGCAAAGCGACAGCAAATCGTAACGCACTACTGCCACTCGCTGCCCATCCCAGTCAGAGGTTTGTGCTTCTATCGCTACATGGGTGTCCTATAGCGTGTAGCGAGAACTAGAGACATTTGCTCTAAACACATATGTATGTGCTGAGTCGGTTTGTAATATGGGACGATTTGGTGCCGCACAAAGTGTGTCTGCCCATCTCTTGTTGAAGCAGTGTGCGCTAGCACTGGAGCATGAATGACCTAAGCAACCACTTACTACCATCGCAACATTGAAAGAACGATTATGTGCCTTTATTAGTAAAGCTACCGGCGCTAAGTGTACCAGGTGGTCTTTCGCGCCAAAGAAAGTATTCTGAGATGGACACATTCAAACAAGGTTGAAGCCGTGCAAATTACAGAATGCCGGAGGCTTACGCCTGTTGCTAGCCAATCTATAACGCTGTCCAAACGAGTACATATTGCCTTGATTGTGTATTCAGTCTTATAGCAGCAACTACCAGTTTGCGCTTGCGGTCATAGCCACACTACAATAAGTGTGTTGCTTTAACCGTCTACATAGAATTCCAAAAATCGTATGCCACAGCAACTGTTATTCGACCGCAACTTGAAAAAGGGATCTCACGAACGACGAAACACGTTTGTATGTACGAACAAAAAGAGGTGGTGTAAGCACAACGATAGAAGCTGCGCTCAATGAATTTGCTGTCATGCATCTCAGTATTTCTGAAATGCACCATATTTCCTTACAAACGGCGCGCACGTCATAAGCTGGAAGCATCATCTTCTTTGCGTTGGGTTGGAATAGCGAAAGCTGGTATGCTTTTGGCAGTGGTCTATAGCTAACACGTGAGATAGGGTGGTGTTTTTAGGTGACCTACTAAAAATCAATAGATTTATTTTTAATAGAAAGAAAATCACAATTTTATTTCATGAATATAAGTATTATTTCACAGTACATATTTCTATAATGTCATTCAGATAAGTTTTTTTCTATCCAAACTAAACATATACAGAAAAAGTTCCTTAGACATATATGCATGCTGCACAGATAAGCCTCAGTTTGTTAGCAACTTAATAATATTCTATGGTTGATTCTAAAATCCAAGGGATTATATAAAATATATACCAAGATAATTAGCAACAAACATTTGTACCACAAGATCGATCATACATAATAATTATCAAGCCTGTTTTTATAGGCAAAATCACATACCCTATTTATTCGGTACTAATAGGTTTAAACGAAGTTCTATTCAATCAAATCATGTAGTTACGTACGTCACGATAGCGATCCTCCGTGTGTCCATCACAATAATTTTTAATTTCATTTCTGTGAAATTCTAGCGAGGGACCCTGCCTTGAGAAAAACCCTCTGATCAGTATGCAATACGTATTAGCGATGACGTAAAATTCAATCAGGCGACTACGCTTGGACATGTCCTAAGATTATTACTTAAATGTTTGCATATTCCACATCTTCCGGTTTGGCGCTTATCCGTTTTGTCAGTTACTAGTTAAGATGGGATCCGCTTCTACTTTGGGCGCTCTCCCTTTTTCGATATCGATGGGGCGGTACACACACATCTTGTCAGGGCATTTTTCAACACTAGCCGCAATATCTTATCGTGTAGTCTCGTCAAATAGGCTGCTTCAAGCGTCTTTGATTTCCACGAGTCATGAGAATACGCTATCATTTTGGCAAGATTTTCAGTGTGCTGGAGCGCAACTAGAGCATGAACGCAAGGAGAGCTAACATCCTCGAATATTCACACGAGCACCGAACAACCTTGTCACAAAATTGGACTGCAAACTTCACCGGATTAATCCCCACACCCGACCGGATTGCGATCACGAAGAATGAGGTAGAGCTCACATCAATTTCACCCCAAGCTGCAGCAGCTAGTGTTTTTCCACCTTGCGAGATGCGTATGGAGATAGTACTCTCCACCCTTTCACTTTTCTTACGTTTTTAGCTCACTTACTCGCCACGTAACGCTAAATCTCCATATAGCAGTCGCTAATTGGACTACTTCGCATACTCTTGAACGCGCTATTTACAGCTTCCACGTTATTTGATATCAAGGTTTCGTACCTTGGAAATGGGAAGTGATATGATTGACCAATTATCAGGGCAACAACTTAAAGCCACGCCAACGCACTTTTGTCCAAGCTAGTAACGTCTGTTTCCGCCTTCTCGTACGCAACCTTTGTCTGCGAGCAAGCCAATATTCACACCAAATCCTTCAACTTCTTCGACTTGTATTTCTTGTAAAATTCTTCATCAGAAGCCGAAAGCAAAAACAAGTAAGGGACGTCTGCTAGAGTTGTCTGAACCGCATCCGTAAGTCCCTTGTCCCTATCAGATATCATGAAGGCTGGAGTTGGTTGGGGGTGGGAGAGTAGGGAATTCATGAACCAAGTCCAATTATCTTCATTCTCCACCGAGACAATAGCGACCCCAACAATTTGGATCTAGTTGTTACCATTGCGAAATCAAGCCACCAGAAGGACCCCACCGATGGAAGTCTTCAGGAAGGTGCCATCCACGGCAAATCACGCTCGCTGTATGGCTTATAAACTTTCATCCCTTCTCGTAAAATGACACACAATCGCAAAAACGCATCATTTACGATTTCGAGCTCCGTTTCGTGACCTCGATCATTCAGTCCAACCATGTAGGATGGAATGAGGTTGTATTGCTCAATATCACTGCCGAATAAGTCGATCTTTAACCTTTTAATCTCGTGTAAACAGTTCATAAAGGATACGGAAATCCCTTCATTCTTCAACTTCATTTGGATCATCAAGGGTGTAATTTTCTTGCCAAAGGTCATGGCCATATCTCGGACTGCAGGGTTACATCCATTTTTTTCGCAGTGGCATATCTACGAGGTGCTTTGGATGATCTCGAAACTTGACAAAAGTGAGAAGCAAAATTAGACGGAGGGCCACATGTTGGTGAAATGGCAAACTGCACCACAAACGAACAGTCATCTTGGGTGCACACAGCTTAGTAACATCGCTTATCACTTGAGACAACACGATACGGCCGGTTCCACTGTCGGCTGTTCTCAATTACAGCTTGAATGATGTCGCTTTTGCTACTGTAACACCTTTTTTCGAAGAAGCTGCTAGCATGCTGCTTCTCGTCATCGCTTTACATCCGATGTGCGCAAAATTACAAGTGCTAATGTGTGGTCAACAAAAGGTAGAGGAGGTGGTACATTAATTGTTTTCCACGTGGCAGTATGGTCTATTTTGCCAAAAATGACTGGTTATTTAACTCAGTGAGGATGTATAATGCTGCGTGTAGTAAACAGGTTCGGTATATTTTAGTGAACAGGCTTGGTATATTTTGGTGAACAGGCTTGGTATATTTTTTGTATTTTTATCTTTGTGGTATAATTCTCATTTGTTGATTATCTTGGTACATATTTTATATAATATCAAAATCTTACGTGCTATAAACAATATGATACTTTCGACCAAAAGCTGAATGCATATATATATGCATATATATATATACATGCTGGCAGATCTGTGTCAGAGAGCAATTGTATATATCATTCTCTTTAAGGGTCGCTACTCATCGACGTGGCCTATTTCACAGTATGTTTTGTTTTTGATAGTAAAAAATCATTTTATATTTGATAAAGAGTTGGATATGAAGTCTTGTCAGCGCGTTTCTAATTTAATTTGTTAAAGTAGATGAAGTCACGGTATAAATAAGGTTAGCTCCTTATGTATCTGTCTCAGCTATGTCTATCTCTTTTGTTCAACGAAGATGAGGTTCGCGCAAGAAAAGTTGCTGGGCGCCGTAGCGTACTTTATAGCTACCTGTCGTAGAGATTTTATACAGCGTGTGATATTAGATCACACACAACACGTAAGATAAGTTTTTGAAAAAAATTATAGCAAAGGCAGCCACTAGCTTCAAGTTGAGTTGTGATCGACAATAGTCCAACGTGCCTGACATAAGCATAACCGAGCCTCTGTACCGCAAACCACAAATTAAGTGTGAGAAAAGCAGATCGCGCATGATGTTTAGTTGTTACTGTTCGGTAATTGACTTTGAAGTGACATTGTCATCGTCATAATTCATTCGGTGTTTTGAGCACGTGCTGCAACATGTCCTTGACGAATAGGACTTCCTACCGTGACGACTCTATCGTCGCAGACCTTTTGTCCTCCTTATCTGAAGTGTTTTGCAAAACGGATTTCTCCATCGATACTCGAATGTTTTGACGTGCCTGCCATTTTACACAGTCAATGCACTTGTTTATCCAGTAGTCATTCGAGGCGCAAACGCGTACCTGCACGTACCCTTATACACAAAAATACTGTCAACCGGCGTATAAACGAGAGTCCCTCATCCACCATCGATAGCTTAAGGGTCACGAAGAATTTAGAAGCTGCAAGTCTTGTGTCTCACCTTAGATAGTCGTATTTCCCAGATAACTGTCTTCGATCAAGCTGTAACGGATGGCGTCTTGGGCCAGTCCGACTCAGTCGAACAGTGCTGGCGATAGTTGATCGTTATTGGCCACGTCAGCTCCGTCGATACTGAAGTCTGACCTCTCAATGTAGTAGCTTTTCTTAGGCCCAACTCCACTACTTATGGCGCTCGTGTACTCGATTTGTAGCCTTGCTAACCGAAGTGTTTGCACCTAGATACACTCCTGATTATGGAGACATGATGTGACGAAGACTCATTGGACCTTTCAGTAGCATGATAGACACACGGCAATAATTGGTTTTTGACGGCTATGTTCTTTACCTACCCATGGGCGCGGCGCGCCAAATGGGCCTGCGAACACTGGGTCACTAGGTCATTATGGTACGTTATGCGTGTCTCACGTCAGGATATATGTAAGACACTCTAGCTATTGAGTCACGACCCACTGACGGCGCGTGTCGAAGACGATCGATTAGGTGTGACGCCAGCTACGAACGCCGAGAGTTACCTGAACGACTCACTATATTTAAGACACGTATCAAAGTAGCGGCGATGGAAGAGATCACACCTGTTGCAGAAGCGTACTATCAGTCCATTGTCATTCAAAGACGAGTGTCCATCAGAGTGAGCCGCCTGATAGTCCCTCATCCTCTGCTAGAACTTGTAAGCTACATCAAAGCACAACGTTCAGCGAGCAAACAGCGCAGAAGCACGAACACGCGTTTGTCTCAAGTGGCCTCGATTGACTTTCATAAGCTCAGCGTCATCCATTGTCTTTCATCTGCAGCTGTCTACATTCGAAGTCCCTCCTCATCACATGGCCATAGCATCCAGCAACGGAATGTCCGCTTCCTTCGACATGTAGTCGATGTACTCGCGGAGCTGGGGGGGCCACTTCAAGTCACGAACAAGTGTCAACCCGCGCAGACGGCCAAACAAGTCGATATCGTCGTAGCTCAGCGTCTCATTTACTGAGTGCTTCGCGTGAAATATTGCAACCAGTTGCTCTAGATACGAGTTCGCTTGTTGCACAAGCGCTGGCGTCTTGGCCAGTGCGTCGTGGAACGGGCCAATGCTTTTCTCCTTCTTCAGACGGTAGTACTCGCGACTCTCCCGTAAAGCAAACTCAGCAAACGGAGCAGCGTGAAAACGCGGGTGGTACAAAAGTCGGAATACGTTTGCCGTGTCCGTGATCCACTGCTCAAGTTCAGGTCTATTGGCCGACGGAGAGAGCACGGCCGGACCGCCATAGTGATCGTCCACGTACTGGACAATGTCCATACTCTCGGCGATGGCGTTGCCATTAGGCAGTTGGAGAATGGGAACCTGTTTGCTGCCCACTAGACCGATAGGCGTAGCTTCGTCGTGGTTGGCCAGGAAAACGAGTTCGTGGGGCACTTGTTTGAGGCCAAAGATCATTCGGGCACGCACGCAGAATGGGCAGTGGTCGTAAATGTAAAGTTTGAGAGGAGCCTTCTGGAGCTTCGTTCGCTGACGTCGAAGGAGAAGCGCCATAGCGACCGCGCCGACTGCAGAGCCGATGACAAAGGGACCAAAGCCCTTCGACGCGTCCGGCATGGCAAAGAATTGGCTTCTTGACCCTTGAGACAACGGGAGCCACTGGTTTTGGACCACATACAAATAAATGTTTACCATACGGCGGGGACCAAACTTTCATGGAAACAAAGCACTTGTTACAGAAAAGTGAAAAAGACCAGTAAAGAAACGTGGCATTGTGCTACTTTGGCCATCCAGTGATAGACGTTTTACGGCGTGTGTCGTGGCCGTTTTGTAGTTGATGCTCCATGTCAAATACCCACGCTAGCAAAATCGTGGGTTCTGATGATATTTGGATAACGTTAATGCCCCTTACATGTAAATACGGAGCTGGATGAGGCAAGAGACTTATAAATCGACTGGTTGTTAACTGCCCTTCATAGAGATACAACTGGCAGTCGACGGTTCGTGCCACTTGACACTTTTCGAGGGCTGAGTTGTGGCGCAACGTACGTTTGCTAGGAAGTCAACACCCAGTGGACTTTCAAAGAAGTCGTCCAGTCTGCTTTATGGCCCATTCATGATGGAGTCGACGCAAGGGTTTCGGATGTGCGCCAAGTTGTATCAATCGCGCGTCGTGATTGATGCTCGTAGCATAGATGAAAACACATCAGTTGTGATCGAATGAATCAATCAGAAAGGTAAGAAGTTGAAGCCATCTATCACCGTCCTCTTGGTTGTTTGGTCGTTCAGCCAGACGTGAGATAAGACTGCCATGTTCCTATGTGAATAAATAGCTAGGTGCTAATGTGGCTCAATGTTGCGCCGTGTGATACTAAGCACGACTACCACCTGGTGTTGATAATGCCTCAGCAGATACGCAACGACGATGGAAGTTGTGTCACGACGAGATATAAACCAAAAGCGAGTAAATAAATGTACACGCTCATTGTGGTGCGTCAAACTTCTTTCGAATGTTCTGGATGGGCTGGTCAAGTGTAGCAGGTTGCGCCGCTGCATAGAACATACCGAATTTGGTTGTCCGCCGTCCTAACGTGAAAGCGGTCTACAGCATGCGGTGGATCAGAAAGAGCTCCTGCGTTTGATCTGTGTAAGCAGAAATCCACTCGCACCATTGTCGTTGGCTTACATCGACATGTCTTGATCGCCATTACTACAAAATCATTTATAAGCACCAGTTTTACCGTACGCCGTGTTCGACCGAATATCTACTTCATGCATCGACATCATCTCGTGGCAGTATGATGTCACCGGTAAGAGAACAACATTCAGGCATGCACAATATCATGACATCGCAAGACATGACATTGTGCATGCCCAACTGTCGTTCTGTAGTCACGCAAGACACGAGTGTACCACAAATAATGAACCGGACAAAGCGCTCGTGGCACGCACGACACCATCATCGCGTCAGCATAGGACAACTGCAATGCTTTTGTCTTGGTGCCAGTACAGTGTCGCGTCAAACAAGCTGTTCTGCGTTCGAAATTTCGAATCCATTCTCCTATCGTACCGTATTAGGATGTAGCTGGTCATTTGCCTTTCTAGTTATACGTTACCTTCTTACTCGCTTTTCTCGTAATGTGTTCCTCGCCGAATGGTTGATGCACGACACTAAACTTTCCTTTGCATCGTATGCACTCATTGACAGACGAGACGTTGCTTGCCTAGTTCATTCCTACGTCCATTGTGTGCAGCTTTATCCTTCCTACTGACTTGACGCTTCGATGGTCTTATAGCCCCATGTTTCAGTTTGCAGAACCTCCTCTTTTTCGTCGACTTCACATGCAGTCAGCAGTGCACAACTGTTACCGAGACGCTACTTCTACCACGCATTGACAAGCACCCAACTGCCAATCGTACATTCTCAGTGCTTCGGCATGGTACGTATACAGCAACCTTGCAAGGACAAAAACTGTTTTTTTGACACGTCAAGCCGCACACAAAACCAGACCACACCATCCAACAGACCGAAGTGACACTAATACATTTCACTACAAAAGAAACGTTTGTTTGTTTGTTTGTTTGTTTGTCTGGTTGATCGATCGATCGATCGAGCCAATCAGTTCACATAGTCTGCGAACCACGAAAACCCGTGTCCAGCATGACAACGGCCCCGGACGTCGGGAGCTACCACGCCATTGCGCTGCCGCTTCCCCACAGCTCTTTCCAACGCTTTGTTTACGCCAAGAAACACAGCAGCAAGTCCAGCTCTAGGGCCGAGTCCCTTCTGGCTGCTGATCGCACTGCCTATGTCGTCAATTTGCCTCTAAGCGCGTCAGAAGAGTGGCTACGCGCGTGTTTCGAGTCGATGGGCGCTATTCAACACGTTGTCGCAGGATCAGAAGGACTTTACGTGGAGAATAGTCACCAAAAAGACGATGAAGGAGATTGTGCACGTGATATTGGCGGCACGCGCACAGCGTACGTGGTGTTCAAGACAGAAGAATCGCTGAACAAAATGCTGCAGGTGGACCTTACAGAGACACCTACCCCAAGACAAGTGAGCGGTCTGCAAGGTGAGGAGGTACTACACATCTTCATTAATGTATTTGATACTAATGCTAGTTGCTGGCGGGAACAGCTTACGCGGCAAAGTATCGTCGTAACCGTCCGGGTCTCTCGATTTTGAAAGACATGGCGGATCGGTTCATGGCGTCGTTTGATGCAGCAGAAGAGGAAAGTTTACGTGGTCGTAAAGAGTTGAAGAACCGGGTGGATGACGATGGATTCCAGAGCGTGGTAAACACGAAGAAGCGCGGGATGATTCTAGCAGAGGAGGTGCTAGCTAGACCCGCTAAGAAACTCAAGAGCAAGGAAATTGATAACTTCTACAGGTTCCAGACGCGCGAGAAGAAGCGAGACCGTACGTGGATATCTCTTTGGTCTTGTAGACAGACTTGTTATCGTGTATACTAACTGTGGTTGACGGTACAGAATTGAAAACGCTTCGTGAACGATTTCAAGAAGACCGCCGTGTGGTTGACGAGTTAAAGAAGGCCAACAAATTTCAGCCGGAATAGATTTGCGTGCAACAAGATGCCTTTTATCGTTTTGTGTGCTGTTTTACTTGCGTATGTCGTACTCACGCCCATCTGCGTACAGTAAGCTTAGAATACGATGTGGAGATAGAACAAAATGCACGAAGCAATCATTGAAATAAGGGTGCACAACAGCATGAGAAAGGGAATAAGCGCACCAAACAAAGGAACGGCAAAAAATGCACTACAAGATGGCAAAGGTAGAAATAACGCACCGGCGTTGGATACTCACGATACGTTCGAATATACATGTTCAAGACCGTATATAAAATGAGTGAGCCATTATGATGCGTGCAAACGTCGTAGCTACTACAAAGAGATCGAACACTACGGTGGCGTCAGATTAGTTTTCGCATCCGTTGATCATTTGGCTTCTTGTATTATGCAAATATATTGACGATCAAAGCTTTGCCTTCCAAGACCGACCTTCTGTAACACGATCACCAGTATTCGTGTCATCGCAAAACGACCGATTGTGTCAATATGTCGCATATTAGGTCCCTTGGTAGATTGTGCCTTACGATTGATGCGGACCGGGGTCCTGAAGCCTGAGTGCAATAAGATCTTCACTGCAGATAGCAATACTGCATCCACCATTGCAGCTTCCAAACGGCAATACCCGAATTGACACTACCTAGGCCATCACCATTAGCAACTTTATTTGTGACGACCATAAGATTTCTTCAGCACTGCGCGCGTCATCAGCGTGCCTTCCGCTTTGCATGTCGATCCTTTAGCTTTGTCGCTCTGAAGCAATAACTTTAGCTTCTGTTGATGCGTAACAATTTGCTGAGGCCATATATATTATTGCAGCATTTTGATCGAGTGCAAGCAAACAAACAGCTATTATGCCCCTTTTTGCTTATCCTCTGACGGTAATAATGCTCAACCCACGTTCGAAAGTATGGCGGAAAGAATGATTGAATCAAGCGACCTCAAATTGATCAGGGTGACTTCCTCTTTGATATTCCAAAATTGTTTGGTAATCAAAAGAAAGGGTAGAAGATTTCGTAGGAAGACATCAGATTGGCATCGAAAATCCAATATTAAGTATATCTGCTTGGTTATTGTAGCATCTGTCGTCGAGATGTTCGTGTGCCCGAACTGACCGGTAGGGACAAATAGGTAGATGATCTACAACCTCTATGCCTCACTCATATTGCGTCCATAAACAGGAAGTACGACTTTGAGGTACACAACACCGTTACATATAATATGTAGTAGCAGCACACGTCAGTTCGTCTGCCGTTCAGACAAGCGGTATCGTAGTCAAGAAAACGAGGGCGAGTATGGTTATGATGAGCTGTGCTCTTCTAAGCTCATGTTATTGCCAAGATGTAAGGCGTGGCCGCCTGTTTAAACCTAGCGAAGGTAAAAACGAAGGCGATGCATGCATGTTCCATTCACGAGCTCGCGAGCCATGTAACTTAGACGTGTTTTTTTGCAATGCACCAGTCGTTTTGCGTCCGGGTATCTCCAAATCTGCATCGCGTCGCTCCATTCCTACTTCATAGGCGCTAAACCAAAGACAACTTTCTCAAAAAATTAGCTCGTTGAAATAACGTTTTTCGTATAATTCGTTTTTGTCTGCTTCTGCACAGATGGCATGAAAAAAGTGACGAGATGGCGTGGTGGGTGAGTACACCCACTGATCTGTCAATTATAATATATGTGTCAGGTCGCGCCGCGTCAATGAAAGTATGATCGCACAATACACTTAACATTAGATTAGTTGAACCTCCTCCAACAAGCTTTGTCGAGACTATAAGGTCTGACCATGTCAGCGTTCAGACCTTCAATTTAAGAAGGAATGCAACTTTTGAAGGGTACAAACCATGAGGTAATAAACAAGGTCGTCTGCTGTGGCTCCTGGATCACCAGTCTTTTAAGATTCTGACGTGTACAAATGAAGCATTTGAGCACCATCGGTCGTAAAAGTATGAATTATGAATTATGTGCGCGGCCCAATCCTACAATCCAAGCTGTCAATGTAATGCTGCTATCCTATGAAGAAGATTTGTTTAGATCGGCAGACGGCAAAATCAAGTATGGATCCAGCGACCGGTCATTTGGGTCAGCAACTGGCCCAAGAAAAACAATAGCAATACTGAACTCAAATTCGGGAAGGACGGAACGTTGAACGTGCATGAACACGGTAAATGTCCGTCCAAGATTCACCACTCGGAGATAACAGTTGTTTCGCGGGGCGAGGTGTTACCAACACCGAAACGCCCCCAACAATCTCATGCAGCCCATCTTCCAGCTAGCTGAATAATTGACAATATATGTTAAAGATGTATTTGATCATCCTCGCGACATGATGCTCGAAACGTGAAATTATAAGGCTTCTATTGTGCTCGGCAATACAATCGCAGCTTCATTCTAGTGTCTATAGCTCATCGCTTCTAAAGAATGTTGATGACCAGCATGACCACAATTATATAATGATCAGTTGCGCCTTACACGACCTACTGTTCATGACGACCCGCACAATACGAGGTCGATCGCGATAGGCTGACCACCGCCTTTGGCTATCAGAAGAAAATAAAGATCGTCTTTATCATCCGAAAGTGATAGACAGATGTGCTCGACACCTACCATTCGACGCAGTACCTGTTCAAATTTGACGGACAGAACGTTTCTACGATGCGGAGGGTACTCGGCTCAATGACCATATTATGATCAACTATCGAAATAGTGGATAAAAGTCCACTTGTTCACCCGTGCTTTTATTGAACTTAAGCGCCTCATATTTTGTCTGACCAAACACATGTCCAAAGAGACGCAGTAAAACCAGATGTATAGACCAAAGGTCGCCAACACATTCTTCACACCCACAACTGTAAATTTATCAATTGAATCCATTCACACTCTCATACTGAAGATGGCGAGACAGACATTTAGTGACACGGTCCACGCCTTCCAAATCCATTTAGATCTACTCATTGATAATTGCGACACGGCTGGCGTCGCATGCCACGTATAGTGTCCTTGTTTTCGTCTGCACTCCTCTAAATTGACTTCGTGTCATGATGTATGTATTGGTAAGGATCCCTGACACACAGCAGCCAATATCACATTGACGACTGCAGTCTACTCGGAGACGCTCTTGAGCTGTCATATATTTGAAGCGTACGACGTTCTTACACGATGAATACAAGAAGCAGTATATTGCCTACTGCTGATTGCTAATTTCTTGAGATTGGCGTACAACTTATCCGCGCGCACAAGTTGGGAACATCTTGTGTTGAATTATATGAGCCCTTAGTTCTGTCTTTCCATCGATGACTTTAATAAGGATGACAACATCGTATAAATAGATCCGTGTACATCTTGATCCGGGATGAACAAATTTTTCCTACATTGATGGAAGCGCCTGGATCGTAACGATTACTTTTGTCATTGCTAGCCGCTACTAGTTGATGTCACTCAGAGTAGTTGTGCTGTGTCTGATATGTGTTGTTCACTAGTTAAAAAAAGTAACAGATCGTCCATACATCGATTGACAAAAGTGTAGTTTTGTTAAAGGATTTATGAACGATCGGTTTCAACATACTGTACATGATCACATCCTTCTTGCATCGGCAAAACGATCAGTACCATTGCATCGTATGTCGTTTCAAATTCTTACACCATTTGCCGTCACTAATGGCTTTTCGCAACAATGTTGTGAAATTGTATGCTTTTATTTTTGCACATTACCAGCTGCTAAGCGATCAACAACAACTAGTCGATTGCATGACCTGTTCACGCGATAGATGCTACCGCTTCATGATGACGTAGCAATTAAAACCTAGCGTACTGTCGACATCATGATGATTGACTTTGTCATTAACCAGTGTCACGGTACGTACTCAGCGTACACCTACTGTTTGAATCACATACTGATCGATACATTTCGACTTGAGATGCCTTAAGGACTGAGACGTGTACCACTCAGTCATATGATTCAGATAGACTGATCTTTTGTCATACGATACGCAGACTATCAACAATTATTTCTATATACTTATTTGCCGACCTTATGTCGCCAGAACGTATGTATCCTATGCGACGAGTAATCAGATCTGCTTTGCTTGACCAAAAAAACGAGATTTATAATGACTCGATCAATTTTGCTCAATATAAATACTATATAATAAATATAGACTTATTGGGATCTACCACTACATGTGTATAAACAACAGTACTGGGTTTTAGCAAATACGTTTCAGACAGACTACCTTGCTAATACAAATCACTTAAGATCATTTTTATGTGATACTGTGGCTACAGTGAGATCCTTTACGACAGGCTCTCCACATGACTCTTGTTTTACCATGTGGCGGCATTCGTATGACTATGGAAACGTGATCATATGAGCATCGATCTGTTATACATGAATGAGTTGTTTATCGGCACTAATTGTAATCCTACACAAGTGCTTCTAGCTTTCTTCACATATCGACGCAAGTGCTTTACCTGACAACATCGTATCTTGCTGATGTATTTTCAATTCTACGCTGTTCAATATCCTTATACTCCCAGTTCTGCCTGGTAGAACTTTTGATGCAGCAAAGTTCATCTCCTTTGCGACATCGTGTCTACGTAAAAATCTGTGCGATCAACGCATTGCTTATCTCTTTTGTTGGGACCAAGATGACCACTGACGGCTCGGTTGCCCGGATCATAATCATCGATATATACACGTTAATGAAAGCGGTCGCTTATACAGCCGATTCTTACACACGTGGTGCAAAACTACGCTTACCCACTACTCCTGGCTGATAGTTTTATGATCGCTAGATGTATTGAGAAGTGCTCTAAGATGTGTTGGAGTACCTGTGCTTATACGACAATGCTTATACATCTGTATATGTGAGGTGTAGACAGGTGTTCTGTCACTCACGGACGCTCCTGTACACGAGAAATAGCAGATAACGAAGTAAAACGATCCGTTGCATGGAACAATGGAGCAGGTATATCTTAGCATGACTAACTCA